GRMCMRRMGGTGTAGATYGMCGGTTTGRGAAYGGTGATARGAWTGGGGAGTCAGGGCCRTTCTTCGCAATCAAGGGCAGACGACTGGAGATGCCCATTTAAATGGTTCAGAGCCAGACGGTTGGATTCTAAGGGCCGATAGGTATTGTATGTTAAATCGACTCTCTAATGAGGAAAGCCTTGAAAAGGTGATTTCATTTGTGGTACCAGTGGGAAAATAAAAGACCAATCATGCAGTGGGAGGAGCTTAAGAGTCTGATTTTAATACAATTTAGAACCACTGCTGAAGGAACTCTTTGTGAGCAATTCTTGGCTGCAAAACAAGAAGGGACCGCGGCAAAATGTAAGAGGAAGTTTGTATTGCTAGCAGCCCCGTTGAATGGAATTCCGGAAGAAGTCTATGTGAGCCAATTCATAAACGGATTACGGCCAGAAATTAGAGCAGCGGTACAACTGTTAGGACCGGTGGGACTCAACAAAGCGATGGAAGTAGCTTTGTTAGTCGAAGAGCAAAACAAATCGCTTCAACGTTGTGGGACGTCGAGAGGTACACTTTCCACACGACGATCTTACGATGGGGTAGGAGACAAGAAGAGTGGATCGGGGGGATGGAACAAGACGGTAGGAGCAAGAACGAAGGGGTAGGGGAATTTCAAGAATTATCGGACAAGGAACTGCAGCAAAAAAGGCAACAAGGACTTTGTTATAGATGTGATGAGAAATATGCTCCCGGTCACCGTTGCAAGAAGGAGTTGAGTGTGGTAGTTATATAAGAAGCAACAAAAGAGATGGAAGGTAATGAGACCAAATTCGATGATGGTGAAGAGGAGTTGGCCAACATGAAACGGGGTGGAGGTATATTTGAACTTGGTGGCAGGATTTACGGCAGCTAAAACGATGAAGTTAAAGGAATAGTTGGTAAGCAAAAGGTGGTGGTACTCATCGACAATGGAGCATCACACAACTTTATCACATCAAAGTTGGTGGAAAAAGTGGGTCTAAAAGTTCAACCAACAGAAGGGTACAACATCTCGATGGGAACGGGAGATATGGTAAAAGGGCAAGGGGTGTGTAAAGGGGTAAAGATGTTGATGCAAGGAATCGAGATTCGTGAGGATTTCCTACTGCTTCAATTGGGGAACTCGGATGTTATTTTGGGAATCCAGTGGTTAGCGTCGTTGGGAGCAATGAATGTGAATTGGCAAACCCAAGTTATGACATTCAAGTGGGAAGGAAAATAAGTACAGTTGAAGGGGGACGTGTCCTTAGGAAGATCGTTGGTTTTGTTGAAGGCTATGATGAAGACGATACGACAAGAACAAGGGATTTGAGTAGAGTTGGGACTTATAGAAGAGAATGCAAGCAAAATTGATGGTTGTTCTAAAGAAGTAACGGAAGTGTTGGAGATGTTCGAGGATGTCTTTCAGTGCCCGAAAGGGTTACCAACAGAGAGGGGAAGGGAGCATGGGGTTGTACTGAAAGAGGGGGTTGAACCGCTTAATATTCGTCTCTACCGATACCCACAATATCAGAAGGATGAGATTGGGAAAATGGTAAAGTAGATGTTGGAAGCGGGAATCATCCGGCACAGCCGTACTGCATTCTCAAGCCCGGTCCTTTTGGTAAAAAAGAAGTGTGGTAGTTGGCGGTTTTGTATAGACTATAGAGCTTTAAATAAAGAGCCGGTACCAGACAAGATTCTAATTCCAATTATCAATGAACTATTAGATGAATTGCATGGGGCCCAAATATTTCTCAAAATTAGATTTGAGGACAGGTTATCATCAAATCAGAATGTGTATGGAGGATGTGCATAAAACAGCATTTCGAACTCATGAGGGGCATTGCGAGTTCCTAGTAATGCCCTTTGGACTTACAAATGCCCTAGCAACATTTCAGTCTTTGATGAACGAAATTTTCAGGCCGTTTTTGAGAAAGTTTGTCTTAGTTTTTTTTGACGATATCTTGGTGTATAGCAAATCGGTGGAAGAGCATGGTGACCACTTAGGGGAGGTATTCCAAAGGCTGCGAAATCAACAACTCTCTGCGAACCGAAAGAAATGCGATTGTGGTAGAGAGGAGATCAGGTTTTTGGGACATGTAATCTCACGCAATAGGGTGGCAATGGATTATGCCAAAGTGGACACAATGTTAAGCTGGCCTCAACCATGAACAATCATGCAATTGCGAGGGTTTTTGGGACTAACCGGATACTGCTGGAAGTTTATTCCTCGATACGGACAGATTGCACAACCTTTGACCGACTTACTAAAAAAGCAGAAGTTTGGATGGAATGACGAAGCAGCAGCTGCATTTGAAGCGTTGAAGATGGCCTTAACTACGGCCCCTGTTTTGGTGTTACCAGATTTCAATAAGCCGTTCGTTATTGCAGCAGATGCATCAGGAGGGGGTTTGGGGGCTGTTTTGATGCAAGAAAACAGACCTATTGCGTTCCACAGTCAAGTCTTGGGTACACGAGCGAGACAAAAGCCAATTTATGAGAAAGAATTGATGGCCATAGTGTTTGCGGTGGTTGTACGGCGTCCATATCTTCTAGTAAGAAAATTTGTGGTCAAAACGGATCATCAAAGCTTGAAGTTCTTATTGGAGCAACGGGTAATCGATCCACAGTATCGGAAACGGGTATTCAAATTACTTGGGTACGATTTTGATATAGTTTACAAGGCAGGAGTGACGAACAAAGCAACAGATGCGTTATCCAGAAGAGAATTGGAATGCTCGGTTATGGGCGGGCCTCGATGGAGGCAGTGGGAAGTCATTTGGAAGGAGGTGGAGAAGGATACAGTTTTGAACCAAATTAAAAGTGAATTAGTGGCTGAAAAAACGGAGCACAAAGGGTTTGTAGTCAGAGAAGAGTTGTTATGGTATAATAATCGATTGGTGTTGCCTTGAACTTCCTTACTGTTACCTGTTATTTTAGAGGAATTCCATAGCTCTCCATTGGGAGGTCACTCGGGGGAACAGAAAACTTTTCAGCGGGTGGCGACAGAACTTTTTTGGATAGGAATGAGAGCTGATGTTATCAACTTTGTCAAGGGTTGTCTTGTTTGCCAGAAAAATAAACACTTGAGTGGGTCACCGACAGGTTTATTACAACCTTTGGCGTTACCAATGCGGGTTTGGGATGAGGTAACCATGCATTTTATAGAAGGGTTGCCGAAGTCAGGAGGCAAGGACACAATCCTGGTGACCATGGATAGACTGAACAAGTTTGCCCATTTTATGCCTTTAACACACCCTTTTAATGCTCATCAGGTAGCAGAGATCTTTATTAAAGAAGTTGTATGGAGCACCAAAATTGGTGGTGATTAACAGAGAGAAGGTTTTTTTGAGTCAATTTTGGAAGGAGATATTCAGATTGCAAGGAGCCAAACTTTATTTTTCAACAATGTATCATCCACAATCGGATGGCAAATCGAAGGTAGTAAAGCGTTGCTTGGAACAATACATAAGATGTTTTACTTCAGATAAACCGAAACAGTGGAGCCGTAGGTTGGGGTGGGCTGAGTATTGGTATGATACTGGCTTCACCTGCAATGTTAAAGTATGAGACTGGAACAGCAAACGTACAGTCGGTGAAGGAGTTGTTGGAAAGAGATAGTATGTTAGATGAGATAAGGATGCACTTAATTTCAGCCACAGCAGAAAATGAAACAACAGGCTGATAAACATCGAAAGGACGCTGCTTTTGATGGGCGACAGGTTGTTTATCAAGCTCAGACCTTACCATTAGAAAACTTTGCAAGCTAGAAAGAACCAGAAACTCTCAGCTTGTTTTTATGGGCCTTCTAGAGTGCAGGAATGTATTGGGAAAGTGGCTTAACGTTTACAACTACCATTCACCGCCAAAGTCCATCAGGTGTTTCATCACAATTACGAAAGGCTGTGGGTCATTGTTTGTCTTCGGATTGCATTCCGTCACGATTAAATGAAGATATGGAGTTGGTAGTAGAACCAGAAGAAGGGTTACATTGTCGAAGGAATAATGCGGGCGTATTGGAAGTTTTGATCAAATGGAAGGATTTACCGTCTTTTGAAGCGTCTTGGGAAGAGTTTGATGCAATTAGTTCTCAATTTCCTGAGTTTCACCTTGAGAACAAGGTGAACGTTGAGAGGGGAGGTATTGTTATGCCTAGAGTACAATTTACGTATTCTAGGAAAAGAAAGGGGACGAGGGGCAATTTAGACAATTCATGAAAATAAGTGGCTGAATGATCTAAAAACAGTTGCTGGGCTTTGTTGTACTCGGCAAATGGGGGGAAACCAAGTATATAGATGCAGATCTGGAGGAGAGAGAATTATTGAATTTGTTCTTTGTATAAACCCAATAAAGGAGAGAGTCACCTCTCCAAAGTTGACAGCTTAATAGATAATCGATTTCTTCATTTTTCCTTTTTCTTGAATTCATAGTAGTCGTATCACAGATGTTATTTTTCATGTTTTGCTACTTGTATTTGTTTACTTTTATCCTTCTATTGCTCTCTCCTGACTTTGTATCAAGTATCAACTATTACTACCATATTTCAGAGTAATTTCGACAATAGAGCAAGTCAATCAGAATTCAGAAAGAAGCATCTCATATAAATGAAGCATGTCTCAATTATACAATCATACCATTTAGCACAAGAGGGTATTAGCTCTTCAACTGCCTTGATAAGAATTGAACAGCCGTCTTTTTCGTGAGTAGCTGGTCCTTTTCTCGCAGCTGCCAACGATGATTTAAAGTTGGTAAATGGGTAATCAAAATAAAAGCATAAACAAGGAACAACTTAATGAAGGTGAAAATTATTAGTTTTTCCCACTAGTACATTTATCTAATATCCTGGTTTCAACTCTAAGCTTTCACCAAAGGATCCATATGATGAAATTTACTGGTCGCCTCGCCTGGATAGAATGTAAGTAACCTACTCACTAAATATACTTACTATATGCTTGAACTTCCACCAATGCTGATTACCTTACCTTACACAAATAAAGAAAATTAAAGATACAAATGAAAAGGGAAAAGTGAAAGAGAAAGTACCTCCCTGTTCCTTTTGCTTCAAATCATAGCGTCTGGCTCCAAGATAAGACACATCGTGTGATTTCAGTTCACAACCTTCTGTTTGTGCAAAATCATACAACATACAACCAATAAGACGATATGCCACCATACTTGCCTCATCACTAGCAGCTTGAATAGCAAGGTACTGATTGTTACACATGCTTTGATTATCAAACATCAATCTCCTTTCCCCAGGTGAGAAGTTAGAAGAATCTAGTTCTGGGTTCTTTTCTGAAGCATGAGTGACTTCTTGTCCCCCAACACTGCTTCTAAAAAGTCTATCAGGTGAGGAAGAAAGTGTACTATCTTGATTGTTCATATCTGCTTCCGTATTTCTCAAACTTACCAAGTGGTATCGCGTATGTTGTGGGTTGGAAACTTCTCTTGTCGACAAGAGAGCTGAATAAGATTTGGTTGAACTACTCTCTGCCATGCATTTGGAATTTTCAGCTGAATTAAAATTAGCCTGTTCCATCTCCCCAGTACTTGCTATTTCTTCATCTGAATTACAAGAATGGGACATCTTATTTTGCACATGTTCTAGTTCGATATCCTCCCACATATCATCACCATCACTTTCTTCAGGATCCTCCATGTATGCATCAACAAATTCTAGGTCCAATCCATGTTCAGGAATCAAGTCCCAAAGAACTTGCTTTATAGAAGCACTCACGCTCAAAATACATTCTACCTCTTCCTCTATTTTCATTTCTGCCAAATGCTTATACGGAGCTTCAGAACCTTTCCTTGTGATGGCAAGCACTTCAAGTAAACATTGTGGAACAGTGTCCATATCACTGCACTCGAAAAGATATTCAGTCAACAAGTTCCTTATCGATGCTCGTAATGTCCTTTCCGGTAATTTAGCCTTGGGATCCAGCAGAACTTGTATATCCTCCAACGCTGAAAATGTCACTCTCTGATCAAGTAGCTGGATAGACATAGCAATATCATTCTGCAGAACACTAATTTCAGGTGAAAATTGTTTAAAGTTGGTTATGTAGTGGCGTCCTTGAATCAGCTTCAGAGTCAAGCCTGCAACTTCCATTGCTTTTGCCAATGGTTCCTGTAATGAATCTCCTTCACTAAGTTTTGAAAGCAATCCCAAACACTTTTTCCTCAAACGCTTGATCAATGTGTCTCGTCCCCACCCAGATTTTTTAGGTATTAATTTAGGCATGTAATCTTTGATGCCTCTGAGTTTCCTATGCATAGCGGAAAGGCTTTGAGTAGGTAAGTCTTCAAGTACATTAAGTATCTTATGAACCGCAGCATGGTAGGAACTGGAGTCTGGAATGAAACGAGATTCGCAACTCCAACAGAAATTATGTGGATCCTTGAGTAGTAAAGAATGATTCTCAGATAAGTTTATCATTCGAGTATTCTCTTGCTTCGAAAATTCTTCTGAGAGGCATCCTTTGATAATCTGTTTCATCTTCCAACGGGTTTTCTCAAACTTAATTGAACCACCTGTTAGTACCTCAGCAAAATGAAGAAGCCCTTGATTGGTCATATCGTTAATTAGGGAGAAAAGACCTATGAGGTCCCTAGGTGAATGAATAAGTTGCATATCATCCTCAAGAATATGCCTTTTCTCTTTAGAGTTGTATTCTTCAAATAGCTTTTCAACAAAAGACTTTATAGTCTCGTAGGATACCTGAAGACAAATATCCAGAAACATCACTAGCACATAAATAAAAATATGGATAGCTATGAAATGGGAGAAGAACTGGAAACATAAATAACATTAATCGCAAATTTTTGCGTTCAAGTACTATAATTCTCATGTAACTTTGTCACAGACAGGCAATGTCATGGTCATCGGTCATCACAATATTTTCCATTTGAAGATGAGCTAATGCATCATGACAACTGACAACATTTATCTTGCAAAAACACAATTTGATTTACCTGCAAATTTATAAGGACACAGGATTTACATCAACACACGAATGGCTATAAACTATCATAATACCTTACATTTACTCAGTTTTCAACTTGTGCTTGTCAGATTCTTGATATGGGCAGCACAACGGGTTAGTTCCATAGCAACTCCACGCTAACCAGTTCAAAAAATGTAGCAAAAGAAAATTACAGGAATATGAGGGTTGTATGCAATACTAATTTAGGCTACAAGTATGAGGAGCAATTATTTGTTGAGTTACTATTACCATCAATAGTGGTAGTAAATTCTTTCATTCTAGTCCTACAAGTCAGTAAATTGGGGCTTATCTCATTATTTTAATCTTCTAACACTCAGGATCTTTATGGGGCAATTACTACATGATTAATCTCCCTCTCTTTCTCTTCCCTCTAAATCCTATTTCACAGCTTAAGGCAGTTTTGACACATCACTATATAGTGTGTAATTGTGTATGCATATATGCACACACAAAGGATGTATATATAGACAGGCTTATGCCTTTTTCGGGAAATATTAGATTAGATATATAAAAAACTAGTGAAGATATCACATGATTATTAGAAATTTGACTTAGAAATAGAAGGATGTAAAGAACTTTGTATAATCAAGAGCTTTGGAAGACACCTGGCAGCATGTATTTCGCTGCCATTATTACAAGAAAATGACCCCAGTGGATACACTATTACAATTGTGTAAAAAATAAAAGGAATTCTCGTTTTAGAGCAAGAATAGTTCATACGAGTTCAGCTAGAAAGACAAGGCGTTTGTTTGGGGGTATATGAAGGTGGGGAACGGAAATGATAATTATAGATGATGTTTGGTTCAACTAGGGAATGGAAATAGAAAAATTGGTGTTTGGTTTTATATGATGCAATCATTCATTATATTACTAGAAAGACTGTGTGTATTTCTGTGCAAGCCAGAGGGACAGAGGCCATCCTTCCATACTCTCAGGCTGAAGGCCTGGTACTCAAAGCACATGGGTCCCACTAAGCAAATATTGTTTGTAATAAATGTTAACAGTTTCTCATGAGAGATGGGGAGGAATGAAGAGAGATAGATTGAAGTGTCATAAATAATGTGGTGCAGGCTGATGAGGAAATTCCACTTAACATGCCAGCAATCAGGATGATGATTTTTAACATCATGTGTACTCAATCATCATACATAAAAAAGGCTTGACTAGATTCTATCTGAATTACCTAGAATATAAAGGCTAGGTGATATGACCTATTACTCCACAGAGAGTTCAAGCAATTCACAAACAAGCTAAGTTGATAAATCAATGGGAAAATATAAATGATTGGGACGGGACTTCAAGGTTGTTATTCACCATCCTTATAAGATTGATAATTCATTTGATAAGAGTCTACTGAACCCATATTGACCAACATTAACCAGGAAATACATGATTAAGGTTAGTGGGTAATACACAGTTGGTACACACCATTGTTACCAAACTGAAAAATATTGCAGCCATTTCATCATCACAATCAAGCATTAAAAAGATTACCACTTACATCATCTTCCCTAAGCAGGTATTCAGGTATGGGCCTGCACACATTCAACACAAAAATTCATCATAATCGAGTAACCAACAAAGGGTGCTGAAGACCACATTGATTTTGACAGAAATCGCATACCTTTCAGTTTGAAATTTAGATCCTTTCAGTTTCCCGGTTTCGCTTCGGGTTGTTGGTAATCCAATCAACCATCTTGTTTCAACCAACAACAAAAACAATCAGTAATTATATAACTAGTTTTATCACCCAAAAGTAAAAAGAAAATACAAACCTTCTCTTATGCCTAAGCTCCTTCTCTTGAAGGTTCACTTGTTCCAACAAAGATTTGCAATCTTCATACAAAAATTCCATCTCTCCTTAACCACGCCTATTCAAAAACATTAAGGAGATGTTCAAGCTTGTAAACGACAACCCAGAATATGTGTTTGTCTATTGAGAGGGGGGTTTTTAGGCAAGGGTTTTAAGCCGCGCGAATGACTGATTTCCATCCCTACTTACGGAAAATCAAGTACTGTTTGTCACGTGCATGGCACGTGTGTTATAAAGAAAATGCTAATTTTTTTTTTTTTGATTTTGTGATATATATATTTTATCTATGTCTATATATATATATACTATCTTAATACATTTTACGTGGTTTTGAAATAATGATGATGTTTTTATTTTTGAATAAATATAAATTTCAAAAAAAATAAACCAATATTAGTAATAAATATAAATTTGAAAAAAATCAATCGGTATTAGTATCAAATTAACTATTTAATAGTTCTTGTTTTTTGGTGTAACTTTTTTAATTCAATTTTTTATTATAATTTAATTTAGATTTACTAACAAAATAATTTATTTTTAGATTAACAATATAATTTTTCATAAAGATAATAATTAAGCATTTTATTAGAACTCAATGATTATCTTAATTATATTTTAGATTTTTTATATTTAAAATGGATGTTTATCTTGTATTTGATTATGTTTATCTGTAGTTAGTTACACGAATTTAAAAATACAGGTTTAATAAGTTGTACTTACGTAAAATTACTTGTAATCTTGAATTTTAAGTAATATGTATCAATAAACAATATTTCATATATAAAAAATGGTTTTAAGAGTTCTTGTCAAATGATTTATAATATATACTATCTTAATATTCATTTACATCAAAGTGTTAATTACAACACAACAAGCATAGAGTACTACTTTTTGAAGCATAAAAACTGAAAATTTCTTAATTACTAATTATGATGCATTATGTACAAGTCATTGGTACAAGCTTTTTGAACTCTTTACCAACAAATATGGTCAACACCAATGTTTCTTTCTTTCAAAAAAAATCTTTCCTTTCTTTTTCATCTTTTTTTAAACGTTTCCCTTTCCTGATATGGTGCATTAGGCAGAAGTCATTGATGCATGAAGTCCAACCTTTTTATGCATAATATTTAAAAATATCTTAATTACAAACTATTATGCACAATGAGAGATGCTTAAGACATCATTTATTTGGTCAAAATTTCTATGTAAATATACTTGGTCTTCCCAAAATTGTCTAACTTCTGTTTTGAACCAAAATTCAAATTCAAAGTAGTTCTTTTGAACCAACATTCAAAAAAACAATATCAAAAGGCTTTTCTAGGCCCCCCTGTGCCCCAACCCTGGACCCAACCTTATCGTCCCATTCGACTTTCGACCGTCTTCTTACCTCGAGCCGTTGGCAACCACAAAGGCACAAACCACCGACAATTAGGAGTTTGATTTCATAAATGGAGTTCCATTTCTGATTTTCTTTCAACAAAAGCTTCGGAGTTGAGTTCGATTTGATCGTGCTAAACAACAACAGGTTCGATTTCTTCATTTGTTGTTGACTTGTTCCTTTTTTTTGGTCGTTCATAGAGTCTTGTACCTAAAAAGATTTCTGCAACATGCAACAACTTTGGCCTTTGAAGTACGATTTTCTTCCAGCTTTGGCCTTTGGAGCTTGATTTCAGAAGGTTCCTTCTTTGGCCTTTGAATGGGTTTTTGTAGTTTTGTTCTTCCAGTTTTTGCCTTTGAATAAGTCTACTGTTTGTGGTTTCTATGTTCATTAGTCAAAACCAACATTCTTTGGTTAGTTTGTTTCAATTCAAATTCTAATCCCGTGTAAAAGTAAACTAGAAAATAAGTTTGCTTGAACTTGCCAAAATTAAACATTACATGTTTAAAAACTTATGATAACATAGGTGATATTTGCTCTAGGAAGGATGTATGTATGTATGTATGTATGTATGTATGTATGTATGCATGCATGTATGCATGCATGCATGTATGCATGCATGTATGCATGCATGCATGCATTTATGTATGCATGCATGTATGTATGCATGCATGTATGTATGTATGTATGTATGTATCGAGTTTACACCACATAAGTAGATGGTCACAAGGAATCTGAAAATATACAACCATGGTCAAATTATAAGGTCCTATCCAAATGAACAACTATGGAAGTATATGTGGTGCTTAAATACGAATTAGTATGCTTATTGTCTTTCATTTATTTTCTGACTGTGGCACATTTGCTGGTGGCTGGCCGTCTGGAAATTGGCAAATTTTGTATCCTTCTGTATTAAACAACATCAATTTGTTGTTGGTAAGTTTCTTTCTTTAGAAGCATGTTATCCTTTGAAAATGAGTGCATCACATGGTACAACAAAAGTAATCAGATATTGACACAAATTTTGATTGGTTATACATAATGTATGAATAGTTGAGGTCTTAAAGTACTTTTTTCTGTCAAGTTTACAATTACAGAGTGGTCTGATGGTCTGCATGTGTCTCCGACAATTGTTGGTAGCTGACCTGGAAGTTTGATTGCATGGGCTTGGGCATCCATAATTGTTGTTTTGGTTTTTGAAGGTTACCTCGAGCATTCAAGAGAGATAATGGAAGCATCAAATACGCTACAAAAAGGGTATTTTGTGAAGTCCTGATTTTCTCTCTTTTAACCAAAATCACTAGTATTTTGGTATATTAAATCTTATCTTTTTTACTCCATCCATCCCATGAAAATTGCAACATGTTTCTTTTTGACAAACTTTTAACATAGAATTACCTGTTTACTCATTGTCAATACTACATACACCATATTAGGGCTATTATTATCTTTTGTTTTGTTGTGTGATTATTGGAGTATATATAAGATACTTGGGATGAGATATGCACTTGATTGTTGCAATATTCTGCAAAGTAAAAGAGATCCCAGAGTTGTTTATCATCGGAAGGCCAGATATGACGATTGTGACTTTTGGCTCTAACATGATTGACATATTTGAAGTGAACGACATACTGTCATCTAAAGGTTGGCTTTTAAATCCGTTGCAGAGACCCAACAGGTAAGCTATTGACATGCTTGTTGGATATATATGGATCCTTAAATTGATCTACTTATGTGTTTGTGTGTGTATATATATATATATATGCTTATTTTTGTTGCGTGAAATGGTAATTGGGAAATGACATGTTGAAACCATTTTTTCAACATTCATATATGTGTGACCCTTCAACATGTACCTATTGTTGACAAATTCCTGAAAGATGTAAAGGATTATGTGGAAACTGTAAGTTATTCCTACAAAAGTTCCCATTTGCTTTTGCTCGTACTTAGCAGCAAAGTGGTGTTGGTTTTGGTTGTTTAGGTGAAAGAAAAGTATGGGCTAGTAAATAGAGGACTTGCACCGATATATGGTGTAGCTGGGAAGATCCCAGATAAAGGAATAATGAACAAATTACTGGTAGACTTCATGGATAATGCTTGATGATGATGCGGTTATTTTTGTTGTGTGACATCATTCTTTGTCGAAAGGAAATTGTGTTATATACCATAAGATCAATGTGTAAAAATGTTTGAAAAAGAATCATCTTTATCTGATGGTCCATGTTTTGCCTATGGGAAGATGAAGAATACCCAAACTCATTTTTAATAAATTTAATTAGTTTATTGAGTATTGTACGATAAACATTCTAATATCATATAATTATCTTAGGTAATTTCAACTGCCTGACATGAATGAGAGATGAACACGAAACCAGAGTTTTTCTTTTTCAAATCCACCTGTACCTGTCGAATCCTTCCTTCAGTAATGCCATAGTTTGATGAATTAGCGGTATCAAGTCTCTCTCTCTCTCTAATATAGATGTATATTGTATAAATTATGCTCTTGTCTATGCCTTTCACTTTGATTCTACACATTTATGTGCACGCAAGTTACAGCGTCAATGGCATGTGCGCTTCAAAGCTCTGTTGATGTGCAAAAGTTTTTCTAAAATATATCGTGTATGATTTTGATCTTATATCGACGATGTAGCCCAAGTTGGTTGCTAACCATGTGTTATAAGTGTGGATATCTTCTTGAGGCAACTCCTGCGTGCGATTTAAATTCTTATATATTAGACTGGCCCGATGATCCTTTTTATATCACAGTCACTAGAATTTTGTACACAATGAAGCATGTGTTGGTCCCGAAAGGGTCTACAAGATAACACACAGTTTGTAAAGGGGGGGGGGGGATGAATACAAACACAGAGTTTTGAAATTTAAAATATATATATTGATAGAGAAGATCAATATAAATTTTACAAGATTGTTTGTGAAAATATTAGGTAAAGAAAACCTATCTAAACAACCTTTGGTTACACACAGATCTTTAGCAAATACAAGAAAAGATAATGCTAGAAAATAAAGATMTTWTACTTAAGCAAGGAGAGGCTTGAAGTAAGAATAGGTTAGCAGAGAGATGTGCGCGTTCATTCTCTCATGCATGGAGAAGAAAACACTTCTATTTATACCCA